GCGCGCGCCGGCCTTTGTGGGGATCGGCGCGGCGGTGCCTGCGTGTCCCCGGTGCGTGTGCGCGCGGGTGCTTGGCGCCCTGTTTGTGTAGGTGTCTGGGTGGGAGCCGAGGGGTGCGTGTGCGCGCCGCGCGCGCGTGCGGGGCCCCGGCCCCCCGGAGGAGCGGTGTCAGGGGGCTGGCACCCGCGAGAGGCTGCGCTGGGGGCTGTTTTCTCTGGAAAGCCGCGGCGCGGGGGTAGGGAGGGTGCTGTCTGGGTGTCGGGGATGGGGCACTTCGTACGTAGGTTGCAGCCGGGCGGCAGCCTCTGCGCGCGGTGCTCGCTCGGCGCGAGCTGCTGTTGGGTCCGATCCGCCAGGATCCGGGCTGGGAGGGCGAGCCTTCCCCCTGCCCTAGGCGTGCGTTCGGTGGGTTCTGCTGTCATCGTTCCATGTGAGGGTCCTGGGACAGAAGTCCAGGCCCGAAGTGTGTGTGTTGGGAGGTTGCAGTGTTCGCTCAGCCACAGTCAGAAAAATGCCCTCTGAAGGCATCGCCCCGGTGCGCCCCAGCACCCATCCGGAGGGGCGCCCCGCCCGCCCACACGCAGTCCCCCAGACGCACACCCTGGTTCCCACTCCCCAGACTAGGTCAGCGCGCAGCCGTCCCCGCCTGGCATCGCTCTCTGCCTTCTGGTCCCTTCCCCCAGGCTCCCTCCTCCCCGGGGCACCCCCAGCCTTGGCACCGCGTAGGCGTCCCTGCCCCTCCCCCCGCACCCCTGCTCGAGGCAGAGCCCCCTCCTCGGGGACCGCGCGGTCCATGCCCACAGCAGACATGTGGCGGCTGGGGGGCGGGGGAGGGGCTCAAGATGGCCGCCAAGATGGCTGGGCCTGGCTTTCTCTGTCTGCCTCCCCTCTCCCTGCCCACCCTGCCGCTGTGGTGCGGTGGAGCACCGCGACAGGGAGTTGCATGGCGTGGGGACAGGTATGAGGACACCTGAGGGCGATGTCTGTTTGGGTATGGTGACCTCCAGCACTGCTTGCGGAGAGGCCGCTGCTGTCTGCTGTTCTCCCCAGCACCCAAGGGCACAGGCAGAGCCGGTAACTTGACCCCAGACCCAGCTCCTCACCCCGCAATGAAGCCTGGCACCTGTTCTGCAGGGCCTGGTGCTCCAGTGGATCCTTGAGGCGTCAGGGTGTTTTGTGGAGGGTCCGCATCTCTCACCCGCTTCTGCATCTGTCCCATGGCCAGGGGCCAGGTACACCTTGGGGACCTGGGTCAGGTTCCAGCTTTGTGGTTGGTGGTGCTGGGTGGGGGCAGGTGACGTCTCCTTCCTTCCCACACCCTTCCCAATAATGGTGAATTTATTACTTAAAAGTAGGATGAAAACAGGGAGAATAAGAGAAGGAATACAACCTTCATTATCATATCGAGAAAATTATCCGTGATTTTCCTAACTAGCAATTTGCCTGCCACGCTGTTCAGAACTGACTTGCCCATTAATTACAGAGATGAAAAATCATCTGCAAAGCGGAAAAAGGAACTAATTCCATGGCTGGCGGCGATGCACCGTGCACGGAGCCACATATGTGTGTGTGCGCGCGCGCACTCACGTGTAAGTGGCGCCTCTCTCTCTGCTCCCACCCGCTGCACGGGGCCTGTCCTCTCTCCCTCCACAGGGCGCCTGCCCCACTCTTGAGGTCTGGTGTACCCCAGAGTACCCCAGGATCACCCTGCCATGCGTAGCCCTTGGGTGTGGGCAGGGCAGGGAGCTGGGGACCAGAACACCTGGGCCGCGGAGCCAGCAGGGAGGAGGGGAAGGCGGGAGACTGGAAGCCAGGCTTCTATTCCCAGCCTGCCCAGGGGACCCCTGCTCCCGGGCAACCCAGGGGGAGCCAGCAGGCACGTGGGGGAGGGCCCGGCTGGGTCCCTTTGCATCCAGCGGCTGGCCCGGGGTGCTGCACCTGCGAGCTGGCTGCATCTCCCAACTCAGGGCAGCTGTGTCCTCTGCACCCCAACAGGCTGGCAGCAGAGCAAGTGGCTCTCAATCCCTAGCGTGCGTCGGCCAGAACTGTACCCCGAGAAAGGAGCAGAAGGAGCGGGAGCCCCCTTCAGTCCCCGCTGCCGGCCGCAGCACTGGGAGCTCCCTGTCTCTCGTCCGGCCATCTGCCGCCTCAGCCAGACCCGCAGCCGAGGACAGGGGAGGCTCTGGGTTTCCGTGTGGGCTATGCTCACAGATCCAGTTTCCAGACTCCAGACACCGCCCCTCCTCCAGCCCCTTGGAGGGCAGCAGGGAGCGCCAGGGTGGGGTTCCCCGTGACCCTGGAGGTCCCCTGCTACTGAGTGCACAGTGGGGCCCTGGGCCAGGGTGGGGGCTCTGTAGAGAAGGTATTCTGCTGTCCCAGGAGCTGGTCCTGCCTCTTCCTGTCTGTGTGTCCCTGTGTACCTGTCTGATGCTGGTGAATGACTGGCACTGTGACCCTATCTGACACGCTTGTGGCCGGGGGTCTACTGGGCTCAGAGCTCTAGTTCCCTGTGTGCTGATTCTGGGGGCAGTTTGCAGAAGGGGCTGCAGTGTGGCTGTGCTGACCAGATACACAGCTGTGTGCAGACCAGGTGGGGCAGTAGGTGTGGACGCAGGTGCATTCTGTGCGTGCCTCTCCCCGCAGTCTGCAGACCTTTAGCAGCCATCACAATGGGGACCCTGTCCACAGCCTGACCCTGTGGAGCTGAAATCTAGCAACAGCCATTTCCCCGGGGGCTTCTGTCTCTGGGGCTGGGGAGAAGCCACTGAAGTCCCAGCTGGGTAGGGGACCCCAGGCTGGGAATGCAGCAGCCTCCATGTCCCAGCACTTGTTCAGTCCAGAGAGCTAAGACTGGCCCCAGGGCCTTTTCACCCACCATTCCTCCCACCCAGGTCCTCTGCATGGCTCCTGCTCCCACGCACCCTCCAACCATACCTCTGCAGGGACTTCTACCCAGTGTCCCCTGTTTGGAACCAGCTTCCTGCCCGCCTAGCTTCCCTGGAGGTGCCACTTCCTCACTCGCTGTCACTTCCTAATGTGTTATGCCTGTTTGTTTACTGTCTGTCTTCCTGACTCGGATCCAACTGCTCCAGGATGTTGTCGAATTTGGCTGTCAGACAATCCCAGGTGCCTGAAAGTTCTAGCTAATGCACAGATTCAGAGATCTCACCTGAATGAATGTGAGGGGGCTCTCCTAAGGATTGACAACACACCCCCTGGGACACGCCTTCCACCTGGCCCCCTTGTGAGGAGCATGGGCTGCTGACCAGGGCCCTGACCAGGCCAGCTACATCACTGTCCTCCAACACGCGCCTGTGCGGACTTGCAGGTGGCTTCTAGGTGCCCATGGGTGCCGTCTCCTGGGGCTCAGTCCCAGCCAGGAAGGGAACTCGGGTCTCCCTGCCCCTTTGTCCCTGGGGGATGGCTCCAGCCTATCTTGTGGATAGGAGCCCCACCGTTGCTTAGAGCTGCCCCAGCCCTGGCGACCTGGACAAGCAGACCCCTCTAACATCGCCCACCTCCCACACCAAAACCAGGGGAAGATAAAAATTGAGTAAATCAATACGGAGTCTAAAAATAGCTCTGCCCCTTCCTCAGAGGCTAAAAATACCTGAGAGTCACTCACCAGGCGAGCCAGGAAGCTGGGGGGCTTCTCTGGATCCCTCACATTGGGGACACGGTCTTGCGTGGTACAGGGTGCTCAGTGCATCCCTGCCCTCCGATTGTAACCCCTGAAACCGCCTCAGACCTCAGGGAACATCCCGGGTGGGGGCAGACTCACTCTGTGGAGTGGAGGTGGGCAAACTTCTGCAGCACTAGATGCTCATTTTTCTGGGCTGTGTGGCCACTTCAGGGCTGTATTGTGTTTCTTCTGTTTACAACTATTTGGGGAGGAGCAGGTGAGAGAGGGTCTCACCATATAGTGCAGGCTGACCTTGAACTCGCCATGTAGCCCATTTGGCCTCAAACTTGCATCGATCCTCCTGCCTCAGCCTCCTGAGTGCTGAGATTAAAGCCATGTGCCATGCCAGGCCTCACAACTCTTTACAAATGTGAAAAAGCTAGTGTGGTGCTAGGCTTGGGGGTAGACACCTTCATCCTAGCACCGTGGAAGGCTGAAGCAGGAGTATCACAAATTCGAGCCCAGCCTAGGCAGTTAGCAACTTAGCAAAAGTCTATCTCAAAATAAAAAATAAAAGCAGGGCGGATACTGGCTGTGGGGGCGCATGCCTGTAATGCCAGCACTCAGGAGGCTGAGGCAAGAGGATCACCAAAAGTTTGAGGCCAGTCTGGCTACATAGTGAGTTCAAGGCCAGCCTGAACCCTGGTGAGACCCTGTCTTAAAAAAAGAGGGGGAGGGCTAGGATGTAGCTCAGTGCAAAGGCCTTGGGGCTTAGTGCTCAGTACTAAAAGAAAGGCAGGGGGGAGAAAAGTAAGCCATTTTTAGCTCATTGCTGGACAGACAGACCATAGTATGGAGCTGGTCACTGAGCGCCCCCCAGTGGCCCTGGTGGGGAAGGTTGGGGCCCTGTGGATTTCTGTTTTGGGAGCGCCCAGCTGAGAGCATTTGTGTACTTAGGAGGGTGAGTGTGACCCCTGGTCATCATCCCTGCTCTCGCTCTCTCCCCCTTGTCCCTGAGCTCCTGGCTCCCCAGACACATGCGTGGCGAGCCCCAGGGCCTTTGCACGGTGTACAGCAACCTCCCTCCAGGCTTGTAGACACCACATCTGTCTGCCTCCTCACCCCTTCTCCAACCATTTGGCTTCCCCAGGGCTCTTTGCACCCGGTTTCCAAATTCTGGGCATGTGGTAGGGGCTCCAGAAGCAGGCACGGAGCCACCTGAGGCAGTGGTGGTCGTGGTAGTGGTGCTGGTGGTTTTTGTGGGTTTTGTGGTGCTGGGCATGGAACCCACGACCTCCTGCATGCCCTGCAAACACTCACCACTAAGCCGCACCCCAGCCCCTCACTGAATATTATTTGTGAGCCCCAAGCCACGCTGTGAGGCTCACTTCTGCAAGTGCTGCGGACATTGCTGGCCCCAGGAGGACCTGAGGGGCACATGCCCCCTGCCCAGCGCCCTGGTTCTCTGCCCTGCTGGATCTCGAGCAGGAGGCTCAGGGTGCACGGGGACGCTTTGGGGTGGACACAGACCGCACAGGCTGCCAGGGCATCTGCTCACACAGTAGGGAGGCAGCCAGCAAGCGCAGGTGTCGAGGGCTTCCTGGAGGAGCCGGGCTGGGGGCGCCCTGGGGTCAGCAGGAGGGCCAGGGCTAGAGGGGCGAGGAGAGACAGTTCAGGACCGAGTGCAGGGCGGGGCTGGCCAACCTGGGCAACTATGGCTGTGTCTCAGTGGCCTGGCATCCGCCGGCCCCGTGGAGGGTCAGTGCCCCGTGCCGGGCCAGACGCAGCCGGCTCTGTGGGCCATGGGACGCAGTGCAGCGCCCGCTCTGTGGCTCTGGAGCAGAGGTGGCGTGGAGAACGGAGGAGAGTTAGGAAGGGGGAGCGGGCTGTGCTGCCGGCAGTGCCCCCCCAGCCTAGTCTCCGAACCTCCTCTGCTCAGAGGCCCCAGCACGTTCTGCCTCAGGGCCCTTGTGCGAGCTCTCCCGGCCTGGGATGCCCCTTCCCTGGGTACCCCGACGGCTCCTTCCCAAGACCTGGGTTCAGAAGCTGCCTGCCGTCGCACCCCCGAGCCGTCTGCAGCAGCACCTGTGCACGCCCCGTCTCTGGGCCTGAGTGTGGCTTCCTGCATGGCACTCGTGGCCGGCTGTGACCTCCGTGACTGTCCCCAGTGTGCGGTGGCATTTGGGGTCTGTTTCATCTTGACTCACTGTCCCTTGGGCAGCCTTAGGCATTTAACCACTGAACCCAGAGTCTAACTAGAGGAGCAGAACAGGGGGCCCGGTGTGTCTGCAGGGTGACGCGCAGGTGCCAGTGCAGGAACGTGCCGGACCATGCAGGAGGCAGGAGTAGGGGCCTGGAACTTTGTGCCGGAGCTCTGAGGGTGGAGGGCCGAGCAGGGACGATGACGGAGGCAGGCAGGAGAAGACCTGAGAAGCCATATGCGGGCACAGAGGCAATAGGGAGCCACAGAGAGTTGCAGGCAGGGAGGGGCATAACTGGGTTTTCATTTTGCAAAGATCAGCCAGGCCTCAGGGTAGAGACTGGATGGGGCAGAGGTGGCAGGCAGATGGGGGATACCAGCAGCGTGGCGTCAGGGGAAAGGGGTGCTTTAAACAGGCCCCGCCTCCCTGCATCCCAGGGATACCTGGTGGCCAAGGGGACCTCTCAGAATTTCCTTGCTGAACAGTCATCCATCACTTCCTCCTCGCCCGGGCACTGTGCTGGGCAGTGAGGATGCAGCCACAGACAAGATGTACACAGCCCCTGCTCTGCAGGGCCAACACGGTGGGAGAGCCTGCACATACTTAGAGTGAGTACTGTATGGACCACAGAGATAGGACGAAGGAGAGCTGGGACTACATGTTGAGTACTGGAGTCCACAGGACCACCCTGAGCAGGGGACATCTGTGTAAAGACCAGGAGATGGGGAAGAGATCGGCATGTGCAAAGGTCCTGGGGCAGGGCAGGGCAGGGCAGGGCCTTGGACAACCCCCTGCTCAGGGCCTTTGGGGTTCTGAGCACAAGGAACTGATTGGCTGCTCGCAAGCGCTGTCTGCCAGCTGTGGGAGGAACAGACTGTGGAGACAGAGAACAGGAGCTGGGGGATGGGGAGGAGGTAGTGCGCTGTCCGGAGGGGAGGTGATGGGGTGAGAGCAGAGAGGGCACAGGGGAGAGAGTGGAGCCACAGAACCGAAGCGCCATCAGGTGAGGGAGTGCCGGGCTTCCTGGCGGCTGCCTGGGTTTGGAGCAGAGAGGGGGTGGCCGCTCCAGGAGGTGGCATCGTGGCGCGAGGCCCCCAGAGCCCCCCCAGACACTCAGTCTCCCACCCACTCAGACAGGTTTCCATGGCAACTGCGGGCTGGGGCAGGCTTGGCCCCCCTCTCCTCTTGCAGCCGGCTCCTCCTGTCACCTCCCGTCCCCATCCCAGGGCATGTGAGGACAGACCCTGCCTGCCGCACCCACCTCCACCCGAGACGCACTGGGAGGCAGCTGCAGACCTGAAGGCAGGTGTGGGGCGGAGGTTGCCTGAGACCCCCTGAGGCGTCACCTGGGGACACCTGGCCTCGGCTTGGTGAGTCTGCAGCCTGTCACCAGGCCTGGCCTCGGGGACCCCCCTAGCTGGTGTCACCTTCCCCCACTGTAAGGTGAGGGTGCAGGTGCCCCCCAGAAGCTGTGCAGAGGGCACAGGAGGTGGTGTGGAACAGATGGGGCGTCGGCCGCTGCGCCTAGGCCAGGGCAGCTGTGGCTATAGGAAGTCAATGCCCAGGTGCTGGGACCGGAAACACGGGGTTAGGGTGTGGTCGGGCTGGTTCCCTCTCAGAAACCCTGGCCCCTGGTTTCTGGCTGCCTGTGGCATGGCTTGGCTTCTAGAGGCAATGCCTAGACTCTGCCAGCATCTTCACATGGGCTGTTCCTGGGGGACATGACTGTCCCCAGGCCCCCAGTCCTGCTGGAGTAGGGCCCACATGAGTGACTTTGTTTTAGCCTGGTTACCTGTCAAAAGACTATCTTCAACCCAGATGTGGGAGCACACACCTCTCATCCCGGCACTCTGGGAGGCTGAGGCAGGAGGATCACAAGTTCAAGTCCAGCCTGGGCAATGAATATATAAGTGACTTAGCGCCGGGCGTGGTGGCACACGCCTGTAATCCCAGCACTTGGGAGGCTGAGGCAGGAGGATTTTTGTGAGTTTGAGACCAGCCTGGGCTACAAAGTGAACTCAAGGCCAGCCTGAACTGCATAGGAAGACCCCGTCTCAAAAAGACAACCCCCCCCCAAAAAAAATATGTGACTTAGTGAGACCTGATCTCAAAATAAGAGAACATTTCTTATTTTTATTTTTATTTTATTTTATTTTGGTACCAGGAATGAAACTTAGGACCTCATGCTTGCCAAGCAGGTGCTTGCACCACTGAGCTATATCCCTAGGACCAAAAGGACATTTTTTAAAAGGGCTGGGGGTGTGGCTCAGTACAGAGCCCCTGGTTTTAGTCCCCAGTATTGGAACAAAAAAAAGTTTATCTCCAAATATGGTCACAGGATCTGAGATCCTGGCAGAGGGGGCTATCTTCTGGGGGAAAACAATTCAGTCTATAACACCACCTGGGCTCAGATGGTTAGATCCCCCGCCCAGCAGTACCTAGCTGTACCACCCTGCCTCAGTGGTCCCAGGTAAGCAGGCTGAACCCCAGGGCATAATTAAGAGGGGACAGGAATACACTGCAGGCCTCCCAAGCCCTTACCTCAGCCCTGAGCTGGGGCTGGGCCCTGGGATCCCCAGAGCTTCCTGCAGGAGGTGCCTTGGGGAGAGGGTTTCAGGCTCGGCCCCCAGGTCACTCCTCATCCTTGGCTAGCGCCTGGGGACCTACTGTGTGTCTGAGCCCCAGGGGATGGCGGTTGGGGAAACTGTCCCAGCTAGGAGATTCTAAGCTGCTAGGGTGGAAAGGTGCAGGGCATGTGGTACGCACCTGTCCACCCAGTGCTCAGGAGGCCAAGGCAGGACGATTGCTGCGAGTTTGAGGCCAGTTGGGACTATATAGCTAGACCTGTTAAAAAAAAAAAGGGGAGGGAGGACAATCTCCTTGTGTGCAAATGAAACAAAGGGCTGGGATGTGACCCATGGTGTTGGGGACCAAACCACTTCCCCAGCATCCTATATATTAAAGCCCCAGTTCCCAGGGAGACCCTGGTTGGAGTTGAGGTCTCTAAGTCATTTGGGTGGTGGTTAAGATACCTGTGAGGATGGGGGTCCTTATGAAAAGAGGGTGAGACAGGGATGGTCCTTTCCACCCAGAGGCCACGTGGGGACACAGCACAGGCGCCATCCCCATGCCGGGAAGGGAGCTCTAGGCAGACACCAAATTGGCCGCCACCTTGAGTGTGAATTCTTGGCCTCTGCCATCATGAAAAAGCAGATTTCTTTGTCGAAGCCACCCTGGCCATGGTACAGTTGTCCCTTGGTGAACACCAGGGACGGTCCAGGTCTCCGCTGCAGACAGCAGACTCCACTGGTAC